AAAAAATCTTGAATCACTATTCGCAACATGTAGAAAATATAATCTAAAATTAAAATAAATGTCAATTTCTTAGAAAAGAAGTAACGTATTTACGACATAAATACACAGATCAGGGAATCTAGTTTGACGATTCCAAATATAAAGTAATAAAAAGCTATCAAGTACCATATGATAAAAATTCAACTTAAAATTTAATAGCCTTTATGAATTAACATCGAAAATTTATACCACATTTTGCAGAACTGGTCAAGCCATTAAATAACTTAACAAGAAAAAGAATAGATTTCCAATAGACCGAAGAAGTTCAAAATACATTTGAAAAATTAAAACAAGATGTCAAGAGCACAACGGTTTATTTTTAGCTATTACCCATTTCATTTGCGTCAAGATCCTTCACAAAAGGAGAAAGTAACTAATCAACTATAGCAAAAGAATTGGCCGCAATACACTTTGCAATAATATATTACCGTCCATACATTTATGGAACACATTTTACAATAAAAAGCGATCATAAACCATTACCATATATGTATGTTTTTATTACAAAATCCTCCTTCAAAATTTACAAGAATGAGATTAGATCTGGACGAATACAATTTTACCCTAGAAAATATATTGAAGGAAAAAATAATGTAGTAGCAGACCAATTATCGCCGATAAATATCTATAACCTAAAATCTATGCATGACAATCTCTGAAGCAATTTGTATGTCTGAATATAATGAAGATTGGAAAAAGCCTAAAATAAAATACGCAAAAGGAAGTAATGAAAGCATCAATACATTTAAACGGAAAAAATATCTTAAAGTAATAGAAGTAGCCACGAATGGAAATAAGGGGAATTTAACTTTAGAGTTAATGTTTCAAACAATAGAAATCATCACAAAGGATTTGATTATTGATCTCAGTTAAACAGATGGTAATGATAGTTTGCTTTCATTCATAAAAATCGATGAATCGATGAATTTAATCGATTTCGGCAATAAAATATTAAAATTTTAAAAATTGAAATAATTAAGGCACATAATTCTATAGTTATAATCGATACTACAGGACCTTTTCCTATGTCTGGAAAAGAAAACCAATACGTAACTATAATTTGTGACCTAACTAAGTTTGTAATAGTGGTAGCTATGCTATCATTCATTACCTATTACTCATTATTATTATAAGGATTCTCATTGGCCAATGATTTTTAATTAATCACATAGGTATAAGTAAATTTTAAGTTTTTTTTTAATATAAACAAATTTTCTTTAGTATTAATCAAATTTTATTTACTTTGTAAAAAAAAATTCAAATTTATACTACATTAAAATTACAAATTTCTTACAAATGATTTACAAACATAAATAATATAATACATGAATAAGGTTTTAATTAAGCAACAAAACATTAAATTTAATATCTAATTTTAAACAATATTAAATATTAGAAAAACAAAATAAATATTAACGTTTACAAATCAATTTTCTTTTCTAATTCAAATTAAAATAAAATTATTCCTCAAAAGAAAGAAGAAATTCATCTCATATTATTTAAATATCATTATTATTATCTCTAAAAATATTCCCATAATAAAATAACCTTTTCTTGTACTTTTCGTATGAAACTAAATCACTTCAAAAATATACTTGAAGTTTCAATTACATTATACAAATTTAAATATCTAAAAATAAAGTAAAAAATTATCAATCCAAAAATATCCAATGAAACAGCATTTCAATAATCCAAAATGCTATGACATAAAAATATCAAATAGAATAACCCAAAAATAAATGGTCATAACAATATTACTTTATTGACCTAAAATATCGAAGAAAAGAAAAGTAACAAGAAGCATTTGTAATTACTAATCTAGATATAGGTTTTGAATAAGTATCAAAGAAGAAATTATAAATATACGAAAAATAAAGAACAGCTGTACAGTTGTAACTGTTAAGCTGAACAAGACTTTTGGTTTTTTAATTAAAATACAATTATAATTTAAAGAGAAAAACAAATAATGAGTTTTGTTTAAATTTGGTTTTTTTACAGATATCTAAAATGAAAAAAAATATTGTGAAATATTTTTTAGTTTTTACTTTAAAAAAAATTTTCAGCTTATTCTTAAATTACACATACTTTATAGTAGAGGCCCGACAGGAAAATAAAATAAATACCCTCCTGTTAAGACTTTCACTATGAGAAAAGAAAGAGACAACTAGAAAAAATTTGGTTTCATTGTTTTTTCAAGATGCTCCTTCCTTTAGTATTTCTAATTTGTTGATCGAAGAAGTCCCAATACTCAATTTTTTTACAAGACATTCCGATTTATTGCCTTCGTTCCTGTTTTTTTTTTAATTTCATTAATCATGTCATATTTCTTATTATTTTTTCCTTTTTTAAGTAAGAAAGAGTTTAATATTTCATAAAATCTCAAGATAATGAACACATTTTTTAAAAACCTTTTCATTTAAATTCGATTGAACCGAAAAAAAAAGAAAGGTAGGAAGAAAGAAAAAATCAAAAATTTTTCTCATCCATATTTTAGTCTGCTTTTAGATACTAACGAGAAAAAATTGAGTTCACCATGTCAACTCTGTGATACCCGTACGAATTTGTTATCCTACGTCAAAATAAATATGCCATAGTTGACTATGGGACGGACTATGACTTTAAATTGCCATATTAATTTATACCAAATTTCAATACTGCGTTTTCAATATTTTCTAAGGTATGTCCAAAATACTTTTGAAGTTCTGTGACTTCAAAAATGCAGTACAAAAAGTTTTAAAACAGTTTTAATACAGTTTTACTACCGCCGCAAAGCTTTTAATACCACTGCGTTGTATTAAAAATACGAAAGCTTTTACTACCTTTTTGAACATGAATTTGACGATCTATAAACTTTTTGACGTTTAGTAATTTTCAAAAACAGTTTTCTAAAAACAATAATATTATAAAATTAATCTTTTCAGAGTAAAATTAAAAATAAATGAATAATGAATTTTTTAAATTTATTGGATTGCAATAGCTTTAATCAAAACAGCAATTTAATAGAAATTAAAAAAATTTTAAACAAAAGAAGAAAAAAGAGATGTGCTCTCCTTTGTAATATTGTAAAACCAAACAAACTAACAAGGAAAATTCCAAAAATAATAAATTTCGACCAAATTATTCAAAAATATCCTGATGACGTATTTTTCAGTCATTTTCGAATGAGCACAAAGACAAATAATTGAAGGGTTTGAAAATAGTCGCTGCCGTCCTTTGCCAAACACCATAGGATGCATTGATGGTATGCATATACGAATTAGCAAACCTATAAAAGATCCAATAAGCTTTTATAATCGCAAGGGTTTACCCTGCTTCTTCCATTTTCAAAGAACAAATCCAAATGTAACAAAAGTTGTTGAAAACTTTCAATTAGAATATAAAAATGTAATGTCACACACAAAAATATTACTTTTGCTTTTACATAATGAACGTTACCAAAGTTTAAAAAAAAATAGCTCATTATACTAAATTTTAGAAAAAAACTGGACGGCTTACAATTTTCTGTCAAAAATTAGCTTTTGTTTATTTATTATTTAACACTGGTAACATATTTATGACATGTATATAAAATGCAGCCTAAATTTTTTCGCTACTCTCTCTGCTTTTATTTTACGTATCCACTACATTTATTTTACATTTTTGAATATGATACAACGTCAAGAGCTTTTATAATACATTTTTGAATATGATACATTGTAGCAAATACGTTTTTACTGCATTTTTGAAGTCACAAGTTTTATGGCACCAACCAGAAAGAGCCAACCAATTTCAAGAACTCTTATTAAACACATTGGCCCCACTAGTATATTCGCCTGTGTAAAACTTCAATACCAGAGCTTTAATAGTTTCTGAGATACAGCCAAATAACTTTTGAAGTTGTATGGCAGCTACCAGCAGGATACAAGCAATTTTCACAACTCTCGTCAACCACATTGGCTCTTCTGTGAAATTCGCTTCATTTATTCGCTTGTGTGAAATTTCAATACCACAGCTTTTATAGTTTCTGAGATATAACCAGATAGATTTTGAAGTTGTATGGCAGCTACCAGAAAAAGCACAGCAATTTCAACAAGTCTCATGCAACGCATTGGTCCTACTAATATATTTACTTATGCTAAATTTCGGTACCAAAGATTTTATAGTTTCTAAAATATAGTCAAATAAATTTTGAAGTTGTATGGCAGCTACTCGAACCATTACTCCGATCAAATCCAATTTAAATAGGGTTTTGGCATTTACAATAATGAATCATTTGTGAAAATTTGATGAACTTATCTCAATTAGACTCTGAGTTATCATTGGGATGGACGAACAGACGACGGACGGACGTACAGACATATCTAAATCAACTCAGATTTCGACGCTGATCAAAAAAATCAAATCTGCTATTGAAACCAAGTTAGAAGATTAATATGTCATGAAAATTCCAACAGATATAAAACCAAATATTGAAGCGGTGGTGCATATGAGCGTAAAATATACAGAGAAAGAGTTTATAAATTAGTTGAAAAGCCAAAACCAACATTTAGAATTTAGCACGCTGAAAATCTGAAAAAAAACTTTGGAGTAAAAAAACTGGAAAATCAGAAATTTAATGCTATAATAGAGATTGATAAAGAATCATTTCCTAAAGTAGTAGCGAACGAAAAAGTATCAATTGGATGGAAAACATGTAAAATGTTTGGTATAATAAGATTACTTCGCTGTTTAGAATTCAAGGATTTCAGCCATAAAGCTGCTGAGTTTAAAATCAAGAAACTTGTTTGAATTGCCATCACAATCACAAAAATGGAAAATATAAAAAAGAAAAAATTAATAAGTGCATTAACTGTGTCAAAGTAAACGAATAACTTAAATTAGGTTTTGATGGTAATCATGACACATTTAGCAGAGAGTGGCCGGTCCTTTTAAAGAAAATAATGGTAAAAAAGCAAAAAATAGAGTATCAATAAAAACTACAGAACTCTGACAGCATTAAAAATAATAAAAACGGAAATGATAAGGACATTAACATATACGAAAAGACTAATATTACAAACGTCATAAATATTAATAAAAAAAACTATACTAGCAATAATGAAATAACTGATGATATTAAGAAAAGTTCAAAAGATCTCAATACCGATATTAATACCAACACCGCAGTGAGTTGCGCAACGGAAATTTCGAAATACCCAAACGAAGAGATCAAAGGACAGTTAAAGGTGAAGACCTTAAATAAATACTTCAATAACATTTTCAAAATGCGCAAACGTTCTTCTTCAAACAGTAATGATGCTAGTTATGCATTAGCACCAAATAACAACAACAGTAATAAGAATAGCGATATCATTTACAATAACGACAGCAACAATAATATTAATACTGGTAATTATAACAATAATAAAAACAATATTAATTATAAAACGATACTATTAATAATGATAAAATTGATTACAAATATACTAACTGCGTCAAAGGAGAAACATTAAACCACAAGGAGATTTAGAGAATTTTGATCAAAATCCAAATAAACAAAACAACAAACTGGCTGACAATGTTCACCACGATGGCAAGACGTGACTTAGCCTAAAAGTTTTTATAGAGGGTGAAGGTCTTCCTACGGGTTACTCACAGCTTATGGATATTTTTAAAAAGTATCATGAGACGATGAATATATCATTCAAGGAGGTTGACAGGGATCTTGAGACTTTTCGTGATCACATGAGGACTAAGTGGGTTGAGTACTTGTAGCGGATGAAGGAATCACACTATGGGTTTTTTCGTCCCTTAATTCCTGCTCAAAATGTCCGAAAACATGTAAAATCTTTTCTTAACTTTAGTAACTTTAGATAATATTTCAATTTATTATGAAAATGTTCGAGGCCTTAGGACTAAAACTGGGGCTGTGTTACTGAATTCTTCCATAATGGAGTGCGATGCTTTTGCTCTGACTGAAGCATGATCAAGTCCTTCTGTAAATAACTTAAAACTATTTGGCCCAGCTTTTTCAGTATTTAGAAGGGACCGTTATGGGAATGTTTCTTAGGAATATGCTCCAAAGGGAGGTGGGGGACTTGTTGCAGTTAAAAACTCATTGTTCGCTAGTATTTTCGACATTTGCGATTGTGACAATATGGAGATGATTGCGATTGTAATTGAATTAACTTCTAAGAAAGTTGTGTTAGTAAATTGTTATATATCACCAAACTCTAATTCTGGCGTATATTTTAAATTTTGTTGCATGGTTGATAGCATATACAATCCTATTAGTTCACACGACGAGGTTTTCTGTTTTGGAGACTTAAACCTTCCCAAAATTACGTGGACAACATATGACGAAGAACATTATGATATGTACATTTTAAGAATCTCAGACGACATTATACATAATCCTAGAAGTTTTTGGAAATTATTAATCATAAAAGGAAGTGTAATAGCTATCTTGATAGAAGTTGAACGGCTCCTCAAGTAATTAATAATTCTAAGGTGATTTCTGAACTTTTTCCCCACATTTTCGCCGAATCGTACTTTTCTACTTCATTTGCAGTGAATTTGGATGATTTTCGACATATAAATAACGTTTCAAAAACCACTTATTCTAATTTTGCCACAAATTCGACTACAGTTGAATAACATTTACAAAACTTATGTTCTAGCCCTTTTCTCGGGCCTGATGGTATTCCTGAAATTATTTTGAGCAAGTGCTGTTTTTCTTCAGCGGCTCCGTAATCTTTTGTTTTCAATAGGTCTTAGTCCTCAGGAATATTCCCCTCCTTCATTAAACCGATACATAAGAAGGGCAATAAAAGTGGTGTGGTAAATTATCGTCCTATTGCTAAACTTTCGACCATTCCAAAAGTTTTCGAACTAATGATATATGGTGACATTAACACCCACTGCATTTCATTTATTAGTAGTTGCCAACACGGTTTTCTGAAAACGAAATCAACGGGGACAAATCTGGTGGAAGCTACTTCTGTTTTTTTTTAAATAATATGAATGATGGATGTCAAACGGATGTGATTTACGCTGATTTCAGCAAAAACTTTGACGTTTTACCCCACGACGTAATTCTTTTGAAATTGAGGTTATATGGTTTTCCCAACAATTTTGTAAATTGGGTTGGCTCTTATCTTTTTGGAAGAAAATACAAGGTCCTTTTTCGTTCTTCGGTGTCGTCCCCGCTTGTGGCTAGTTCTGTAGTTTCCCAGGGCAGTCACCTGACGTAGAGACCCGCTAAAGACGTAGCGTCCGTTTTGAATTGCGATGAAGTGTTAATTTATGCTGATGATATGAAAATTTTCAAGAGGATTCGTTCTGTAAATGACGCAGTTTCTCTGCAAAGTGATCTGGATAACCTTTGCGGGTAGTGCACTAGTAACAACTTGAAAATCAATGTTAGTAAGTGCGCGCTAATGTGTTATTCCAGGCAGAGACAGCCAAAAATATCAAATTATACGTTAAATGTTCAAGCTATTAGTAGGGGTGATTCAATTATGGACTTAGGGGTTTGCTTTGATAATAAGCTATCATTCGCCAACCACTATAACTATGTGACTGGCAAAGTAAGCTCTATGTTGGGATTTATTAAATCCTGGTCTAGGGAGTTTAATGACCCCTATATTTTGAAGTCCCTATATTTGTCTCTGGTTCATCCCCATCTTATATATACCTCACAAGTTTAAACGCCTTTTAACAATATTCATATTAATAGGATTGAGTCGGTTCAGAAGAATTTTTTCCGATTTGCGCTTCGTCACCTTCCTTGGGAGGATCCTATTTTTCTTCCTCCTTATGAGGACAGGCTCAAATTGATTGAATTACCCACTTTAAGTAAAAGACATGATGTCGCCGACGTGATATTCATTTTTCAACTTATGGAATCTGATTTGATCTCTCCCGATATTTTTAATAAGATCGTCATCAATTGTAATGTTAGGTCTCGTTCTCCTGTTTTTTTATAGTTCCGTTTCATAGAACTAATTATGGTAAAAACGATCCTGTCAGTAGAATGTTGAACATGTGTAACAATAAAAGAATCATTCATCCCTTATTCATCCTTTTTCTAGGCGATTCTAACTTAATTAACAATAAAACATTGTAATTTTAGTATCTGTAATATTTTGTGTTGCTTTTAGTGTTAAAGTCTAAATATGTAAATCTAAAGTAAGTCTAAATATGTAAATCGATTTGCATATTATATTGTAATATGTTTGAGCTAAGTATGTAAAATAAAATAAATTAATATACAACAATGTGCGAACATTCTGTATTTCGATGATCAAGCTAATATCTGTTATGATGGTATAACACAAACTAGCATTAAAGTGCTTATCGATCAAGATGGGTTACCCACGAATACGCAACAACTTCGTAAAATGTACTATAGACATTATAAAACTATAGAAGTTAAGCAGAAAAGAGTTATAACAGATCTAAAAATATAAAGACACCATATCGATAACAAATACAGAGAACACCTTCAGAAAGTTCTAGTAAATTGGCATAATTATATGATAGGTATGATGACTGAACATAATAATTTGAATCAAATAGCTAAATTAAATATTTTATACATATACAATATTAAACACAAAATTCTGGAACTGGAAACGTTAACACAGCTATGAAAATGTGGATATTGCTATTCTAATGGAAGTGTGGGTATTTGATAATGAAATTGAAATACGTCGTATACAAAACTATGAAGCTATTTATAATTGCAGAAATGAAAAGAGGGTGGTGATACAGTAATTTTTGTGAATAACAAATTACACTACAATGAAATTGAAAAAACTGAAAAATATAATTTTGAATTCTGTCGCTGATATTATAAATGCACAGCCAAAAGTTAAAACCTCCTACAAAGCACCTTCTGAAAATTGCGCACTATTTACGACTACTTAGAAACGAAAATAGACCGAATAGATAAATAAACAATGTATCTTTTTTGCTGATGTCAATATAAATATTTTGGAAAAGACAAATACAGTAATCAAATATAAAGACATGATAAATATCTGTGAATAAAATTTCATAAATGAAACCTACTAAAATATTAATCGATCAAATTGTATCAAATATATGTGGGCCAGCACAAAATCACATACAAAATTTAAGATAACGACATATCTGATCATACAACTACCTTTGTGAGTGTAAAGTTGATAAAACATGGGATAAAACTTTACGCTAAGTGCTCACATACTAGACTAGATTATGATAAGATGCATGAAATAGTCAATTATGAGTTATCTGACTTAATTGTTGACTTAATTCTTATTATACAAAAGGCTAAAGAAAATAATACTACGACTCATACAATAAAGTCGTTATTTATATGAGGCACATAAAAAGGATCCTAACAGCTCAGTTAAAAAAAAAAAATTAGTATTTAAAAATGAACAAGAAATTAAAAAAACTGATTATTCAAGCAAAGAGAAGTCATATTAACAATCGCATCGCAAAATGCGGAAAATGATGAATCGCACAATAAAATACAGAAGATGAAGAAGAATAATGTATCTGTCTCAATAATCCAAGCGGTAATATCACAACCAATGATTAGAAACTGCAAACATTCTAAATAAATACTTTAATAAAATTGGATAACGGATTGTAAAAGAAAATAGTCCTAATTTTGTGCAAAATACTGTACGTAATAGAATAAACCAAAAATCAGTAATTTTGATGCCAGTTACAGAGAATTAAATTGTCGAAATTTCTCTGAATCTCATTAAAAATACTGCTCCGGGGGTGATGGAATAACAGTTAACTATATTCAACAACTAATAAATGTTATTAAGAGGCCTTTATGTAATATGGTAAATTCATGTCTTACTTATCTGACCATTGCTGCAGTGGTTATGGCACCGGCCCTTTAACCGAAGGGTATCGGGTTCAAACCCCGGTCAGGTCACTATAAAAATTATATTCAATATTATATAACTTAATATGCAATATTAATAAATTTATACAAGTAATTTTCAAATATTCATAATATGCGATACTAAAAAGACTAAGAAAAATAAGCAGTAAAATATTAATAAACGGAAATATTAAATATAAATAAAAACTACGGTAGGCTAGTCACCTACCTAGCTAACTCTCTATGACTATAGAAACTAGGACATGATAGATATCATGAACTAGCCCTATGCTCCTTATAGGAGTGAAGAAGGAACAAAAAAAAAAAATGTCTTACTAATGGAATTTACTCAGAATGCTTAAAAAAGATTGTAATTGTACAAATTTACAAAGGCGGGACAAAAACGAAATGTGGTAATTTTACACCAATAGAACTTCTTAATACAATTAATGAAATATATCAGATAACAATGAATAAACGCATTCAAACTTTTGTAGAATCTATAATTCACTATGATACAAACCAATATGATTTGTTATTTGATCCCAATATTGAAAGAAGATGCACTGATTCTGCTGTGACGGTAACACTAGATCACATTTTTGATGTTCTGAATGAAGGATATACTGCGGGAATATTTATTGATCTGAGCAAAGCGTTCGATGTGGTAAATTACAGCGGACTACTAGATTTTCTTGAATATTTGGGTATTCGAGGAACAGCAAATAGTTTGTTAAGAAGTTATCTATTAAAAAGGGTACACTGCGTACGAATAAATAAAACGGCAAGTACAGAGCTACTTATAAACACTGGCGTACCTCAAGGTTTGCTACTTAGACCTCTTTTATACATATTATATGTTACGAAACTCTCCAATTGTAACATACAATCAAAATTCAAAATATATGCAGACGACACAAACTTAATAGCAACAGCTAAAGTCTTAGATGAATTGGAGTACGTTTTGAATAAAGATCTTGAAACTTACATCGATTAGCTTAACGGAAATGGACTCTGCATGCTCAAACTCAAAAAAAAACTCAAACAACGTGTTACATGGTCTTTAAAAAACCTAAAAAGAAAGTACCATAACATTAACATAACAGTGGGGATTATTATAATACAAGGAGTGGAACATGTAAAATATCTTGGTATCTACATAGTTGAAAATCTGAAATGGCACAAGCATATAAAACAGTTTAAAAAAAGCATTATTTCGATAACTATGGCCATTAAGAGAGCAGCGGTGTGCAAGCGAAAGCAGCAAAATTGATATATAATGGGCATACATTGTTGACAATTCGCTACAACATATGCAGCTGGAGTCATTATACAAAATTCCATGTCGATCAAGTGGGTGTAGTTATGAATAAAGCGTTAAAAACACCATATAATTTGAATCAGAAGTTAAGAACAAAAAAATTGTATAAAGAACAAATGAGCTATATATGTTAACTCACCTATTTCGAGAAGTGCAAATATGTGTTCAAGATTATAAACAAAAAGATGAAATTATCGTTATCAATCACAACAAAAGACACCATGCATAGCTATAACACCAGACTTATTGGTACCGAGAGCAATTTCAACTATAAAATTAAATGGTTAATGCAGTGCAATAAGGATGTACAACACATTACCAAATAAAACACAAAATTGTAAAAATTAATTTTTAGATTTTAATTTCTTGTACACAATTTCATACAAATTGTCTGAAATTAAATAAATAAAAAATAAATAATACATGCTAAGAGAGAAAGCACGATCTTCTTTTGCGTTTAGAACAGTTTAGAATTAAGATAGGCCATACATACGCAGGCAACGCCATGTTGTAAACAAATAACTTTTCTTTACCTGCTAACAAACACGAAAGAAGGATCCAAATAAATTTCGCATGTTGGTAATGTAATATGTTTAAACTTAAATATGTTAAATGTAATATGTTTAAACTTAAATATGTTAAATGTAATATGTTTTAAAATAATTATGTACAAAAGAGTTGTATGGAAATATGTACATACATATTTATTTTTGATAACTTAAAAACTAATTGAAATTATTTAAAACAATTCTGTAAGTATCTATTAAATAATTGAAATGAGATAATAACTCAAATTGTTTGAATGTACCACATTATATTACTTTCATCAACATTTTTGTTAGCCAACACTACTCAACTTACCTTATTAAAAATTACAAAATGTACATGTAAAAGTAATATATCGTTAAAATGTGAAACCACACTGAAGTATGAATTTGAAAAATTTTTCAGTAGGTAGGCTTCTTGCCCTCCCTCCTAAAATTAATTTTTGCTTTATTTCAAAGACTGCATAAATCGTTCGTCCTAAATACATGCAATACTAGAAATGTTTCGTATATGAATGAAAGTAATTTTAACAGGAAAGTTTTTTTTTGTCAAAGAAGTACGTTCACTTGTTGAAGGGAAAAGTGCTACAATACAAACTATTGGTTTGACTCAACTTTATTTTTGTGGCATGTTCGAAAAGAGGCTATTTTTTTTTGATACAAATGAGATATGTAAGTATTTCAAAATGTATGAAACCACTTTTCCTAAATGCGTTCAATACGCAGTGGATACATAAAATAAAAGTAAATCGGGCATCGAAAAAATCGGGCACGCTTACCTTATAGATATGACATGTATAAGAAAAGCGTGCAAACGTTGTCGGAAATAACCAATCAAATAAACTAATATTAGAATTTTTTAAGCACAGTTTTTTAAGAAAACAATAAATGTATTATTGGTAAAATTTCTGACAACACAACGTGATTCGTGCGTGCAAAGCGAAAAAACGAGAAGAAGAAGAAAACATATGAAGACGAGTTGCAATAATAATGAATATAGAAAAAACAAAACAAATAAAACGAATAAGCAATGTACAAAATGAGCTATCAAATTGACAGCTTGAACGTCACTCCTAAACGTTAGTGGACACGTTCAAATTAATTTGTTTGACAGAATCGTTAAGATAAAGTGTTAATTTTTTTAAAGACATTTAAAAATAAGTTTTAAAAGTTATCTAAGCGTTTTCTGAAGTCAAATGTTTTTCTAGTGTGTTTATTGAAAATAACATTGTCAATTGCGTTTTTCCACCTGTAGAGACCCAAGTTAAGATTAACATAAAATAAAAAAATATTTAGCTGATATAATCTATTTCACTTTTGTATTGCCTTTATAATTTTGAAATTTGTTGGGAAATGAAAAAGATAAAGAGCTTTTAAAAATTTATGTGTTGCTTTTTTAACCGAATTATTACAAGATATACCTTAAGCCAAACCAAATTTTAAAAAATACTGGAATATTCGAATTAATATCGAAACGAATTAAAATTACAAAAACGTGCATATATGTAAATATGTATTTTGTAAATATTTTATACATACGAATCTAAAAAAGCACACTTAATTTTATTGAATTACTAATAGAACGTATAGCTGTTTAATTAATAAATATTGTACCTATATTACACTAATAATATTATTTCCATGGAAATTTCTTGTACAACTGCAGAAAAATAAATGACATAATCAAGGGAACGAGTTAAAGGCAGAAAAATTAACATTTTTCTCCTCGAACTGGACTCAAACCATTGACCTACCTCTTTCGAACGCTCTACAAACTTAACTACAGAAGTATGAATAAATTGCCAACGAATTGTTCTTCACATTGCTCTATACTATGTACCTTAAAAAAACCTAGTGAAGCCAAAAACTTCAGGTAGGTCTCTAAGCATTATCAAACTGAAATTGATATTAAATGTCAAATGTTTCTCGGAAAAGTACGTCATGTTGGTATAAAAAGTAAACAAAGAAAGTTCTCTGAATTTAGTTTTAAAATAAGTGCAGTTTGTAAACCAAAAATCATAAAATATTTAATAATAACTACTAAAAAAATATTAGTTTACAAAAATTTATAAAAAAAATATAATATGCAAAAAAAAATTTGAACACAGAAGAAGGTGCATAAGTAGTTTCAAATTTTTATTTCCATTTCAAAAAACAAATTGATGTCTTCCAACATATGGAAGTGAATATTATTTATTTTAATAAATAAAGGGAAAATTTGTTCAATAATGTTTTGGTTATTGTAATAATGCGTCATAGAGTTTTAACTAGGTAGGTAACTAGCCTTATATTTAAGTTTATTATTATTTACTGTTTTTTTTTAATATCGAATATTATGAATATTTGAAAGCTACGTGTATATTAATTATTAGTATTGTATATTAAGTTATATAATATTGTATATATAATATTGAAAATAATTTTTATAGTGACCTGACCGGGGTTTGAAACCGAGACCCTTGGGTTAGAGGACCGGTTCCAAACCACTGCACCAATGGTTAGGAAACTTTTTTACTAATAAATTAAAAGAAAAAATTAATTTATCGCACATAAACATTGATTTATTCGATCATAACGTGATTATAATTGAAATACTAAATAATAATATCAAATCAACAGCTGATGATAATACTGTAAATAACAATTGGGTTAGCACAGTTGCAAATACTAATTTAGTAGAAATGAGTCGATTATTACAAAAAGAGCCAATACACATAAATGACATACAATAATTGAGAAGAAATTTCTACAAATTACATTTTAAAAATTAAACAAAAAATTGAAAAGGCAACGGTTACTAGAAAACGTAAGAAAAAGTCTATAAATAATTATATTAGTAAGGAGTGGATTAATAAAGAATTAATATCAGCAGTAGAGTCAAAACATTATTGGTATTCTAAATTTAAGGGTGACGGAGCAAATAGAAATGTAGAAAGAAATTTTAAGTACTATAGAAACATTTATACGAAATTAAGGCGAATAAAAAAGGAAAAGTACTATGAATGGTTATTTAGAAATAGCAGAAATGATTCGGCGAAAACTTGGAATTGCATAAATAAAATTTTGTATAACTCAGGGAAAAATTATAGTGTACTAGAATTGTTAAGAGACACAAGTGAACTAGAAGCTGTAAATATAATTGATGAACTTAACGTACATTTTGCAACAGTGGCAGAAAAATTAAGTAGTAAAATCAATAAAGAAATATTTTATGAACAAACAAAAACTAACAAATTATTTAAATTTCAAACCATAAATAAATTTTTAATAACTCGTATAGTTAACGCGTTAAAGAAAACAAAATCGATTGATTTACATGATATGACATCCAACATGCTTAAATTTTGTATTGAACACTTAAGAGAACCTTTGGCAACGATAATCAATGAGTCACTTAATGAAGGTGTAGTTCTAAAATAATGTGATTAAAAAAGTTTTTAAATCTGGGGCAAAAAATGATTATAATGATAATAATTATGGGCCTATTTGTATTACTCCAGTAATATCTAAGATTTTGAAGAAAGTTGTCTATGATCAAATAACAGACCACCTACACAAACATAATTTGCTATCGAAGAAACGACATGGGTTCACAAAAAAATCTTGCACTGAAACGGCAATAATTGATATATTGACTAAGGTTCAGAATTTCAAAGATAACTCTAAAGTAATATCTTTGGTTTTTATTGATTTCAAAGGCTTTTGATATGGTCAATCATACCATTCTGTTAAATAAACTGTTTGGATTTGGAATAAAGGGTATTGAATATAAATGGTTCAAATCATATTTGGAAAATCGTTCGCAGTTGATTCGAATCGATTCTTTCGAAAGTAACTATTGCAATATTGATTTGGGGGTGCCACAGAGCAGTGTTCTAGGACCGCTTCTATTCAATTTATACATAGACAGTATACAACTTGGCAGCGAAAAATGTGAGATATTTTTGTACGCAGACGACATTTGTGTATAATGTTTCAGGCTGATAATATTCGTCAACTAAAATACTACATGAACTCAGAGTTCAATAAAATTCATACCTGGATGGAAAAGCTTAGACTAATTATTAATATTAAAAAAACTAAATTTATGGTTATTGGAACAATACAGGCTGAATTGAATGTGTATTTGAAATTCTTGAAAAAGTATCAGAGTACGAATATCTAGGATTCTGCATTGACTGTCAACTGAGATGGAAAGTTCATATAACCAAATTAAGCAAAAAAACTTTCCGATGTAGCTAGGGTATTTAAAAGAACATCGACACTAATTCCAAACGAAATAAAGAAATCGGTATATTATTCGCTGTTCAATAGTCATATTAGCTATAGAATAAAATTGTGAGGTACGTCTACTAATGAAATGAATAACTTGCTTCAAACTTTAAAAAAAGAGCCATCAAAAATCTCTTTAATTATAATTGGCCTGAAAGTTCAGTGTTAATACATCATTTAAATGATATAATTTTCACAAGGGATTTAATAAAAATTAAATTAATTCTAATATACATACATGAGTTAAGTAAATCGTAAATTCACTCTACAACTAAATTAGTTCGAAGAAATGAAATACATACGATAAATACGAGAAATAGAGATTGTATACAATTGAACCGTAAAAATACAGTACACTATGGAACGGCAACGCTTATGCATATGGGAATTACTTGGTACAACAATCTCGACAACTTAAAAAGGAATTATATAGTAGAATGTTAAAGAAATACTGTGATTCATAGACTCATAGAATTGTAAATTTTATTTTTCTACCTGCACTTTCTTTTTTCTGTACAAGAGCTATTGTCGTTTACTATTTTTTGTTTGGTTTTATTTTCTATGTTTAAAATTTTGAAGAAGTTACACTTAGAATTAATGTTTTTGATCAGAATAGTCTTAACATAGTAATCAGGATAGTCTTCACATGACAGCAATAAAATGCGTTCTCTTTAGACATACTCGTAATAATTGAATAAATAAATAAAGAATAAATTTCCAACGATGTTTTTACCATAGAGGTAACGTATGGGACAAACTTATTGTAGAATGTTTTTATTAGTTAAGGTTTAATATTGACAGAACCTGAAGAATTAGAATTATTTAGGTACTTTATGAATTTTTCTATATTGAAATTGGACATTAGTTCAAAATGAAAAATTTGATTGATAGTAATAATAGAGTAAAATGTAAATACTTCGACTATTGGCTATTTTTTCTCCTACTCTACTATAATATTGATTAAATTTATTTAATTTATCTAAATTCGCATGCTCATCCATAACATAATTTATAAACCTGATTGTATCTGATTTTATATTAGTGGTTAATTCTTTAATTACTTGCCAAGTTTTTCGTATATTATTATTACACTGTTGAAATTTCCTCTCACAATATAATTTTCTTTTAGTTTTTTAATTTTGGTTAACTTGTTAAACCAGTGTTTCTATAAATCTTTGATCTTTGTATTATTAAAATTTTTCAGTGTTTTTCTATACCAGTAGTTTTTGGTTTACATTAATTCAATTACCTCTTTATCAATCCAATCATTAGAATATTTTTTTTTAAATTTAGTTACTGTAGTATAAATTATATTATTTTTAATAGTATTAGCTAAAATATCATATTTTTCATTCGCTGATAAATTGTACTCCAAATTAAATAAATGTTCATTCAGTACTTTTTCTCTCAATACATTATAATTCATTTTTACATATGTTGCATTAATTTTATTGTTCCCTGGCTTATTACTACAAATACAATTTGTCTCAATAAACAATATATCATGATCAGAGATATCGTAATTAAGTTTCCATAGACTTTAATCTATGTATGGGAATGATTTTTGTTTCATTTCCTATCAAAATATTGCATAAATTTTTAGCGCGAGTAATTACTTTAAAAACCCCTACGTGTGGTAGTTAAATTACTCGCAGTAAAAATTCAATTACTCGCGGTTAAAAACGTGAGAGCAAGTTCCAAGTTCCTTAGGAATGAAAATATTACTTCGCTGATAGATGAAATAATATCTTTAAATTGGTTGACAAAAATAATTAAAATTGAAATCATCAAAATTTTTGTGCCTCGCCAGATAAACGCAGAAGTTGCCCGTAGTGTATAATATTTGACAACTAAGAAAAAAAAAGAGACATAGAACGCAGAATAGCGAAAGCCAGAAGTGCATTTGGAAGACTGTGGACGGTATGGAGATCAACGCACATGGCTCGAGGAACCAAAGTTAGAATCTTCGACGCATGTGTCAAATCAGTGTTGCTGTATGGAAGTGAAACGTGGCTAGTATCAAAGAGTAACATACAGAAACTGCAAGTATTCATAAATAAAAGTCTAAGAATAATATGTCGCATATTCTGGCCAAGAAGGATAATGAATGAAGAACTATGGGCCCTAACAAAACAAGAGCCGGTGTGGGTCCAAATAAGAAAGAAAAAATGGAAATGGATTGGTCACGTTCTAAGACGCCCGGTATCATCAGTGGCGCGCCAGGCACTAGAATGGAATCCCCAAGGAAGAAGAAATATTGGAAGGCCAAGGACAACTTGGAGGAGAACAGTGCAGAGAGAAGGTGACTTAACTGGAAAAACATGGCCGGAAATTAAGAGATTGGCCCAACATAGAGAAAGCTGGAGAGGCTATGTCGAAGCCCTATGTTCCCTAGGGGAATAATAAGGAAGAAAAAAAAAAAAAAAAAAAAAAAAAGAAAAAAAAAGAAAATTCGAATTCCGCCCCATAGTCTGTCGTTATGGTGCATGTACCTCCAAACCTTGATATCTAAAAGTAATGAAATTCTTAAATAATGTTTCAGCGGTTATACTAGACAATGCCATAGCCTCCGGTCAGCGAATGAAACAGTACCCGTTGATGTTTCACACAAAATCCCATAAATTCCTATTCGTATGAAATCTTTTGTAAAAATTAATTTAGAATTTGGATTTTTCGACTTATAGTTCTCAATAAAATCAGCTATTTCAGGATCTTTACGCTGTTGGGTGATTAAGTTTCATAAATTAGTGGGTATATTATCAACGGCATCAATTTAAGAACATGAAAGTATATCCGCAATCCTGTTATTAACAGCCTAGATGTATCTAATGTCGTTTGCAAATTCCGAAATTAATTCAAGATTGGGAATGTCCAGTCGACTTTTCAAATGAAGACGATAAAATTGTGATAAGATCTCTGTGGTCTGTGTAAATAATTGGATTTCTGCCCTCTATAGCAAGAATCTGAAGCTCTCTGTCGCTGGTTCTAATCTGCGAACAAACAAGCTAAGAGATTCATGACCAAGTTCCATCTGCATGACCCTACGTACAGCATCATCCGAAACGTCAACACAGATACACAAATGAGCTTCGGGTCAGAATGTGCGGGAAGCGAATTTTTCTGAAAACAGTCCTTGATTTGATCAAAAGGGGTTAATTTTGCCCCTAGGATTAGATTCTTTCAATAGATCCTACAAAGAAATATATAGTTTGATGAGTTCGCGTATAAACCTATGATAAAAATTAACTATACCTAAAATTCTTTAGAGTATTTAGATTAATTGAATACAATGAATCATAGAGAAAGGACAACAACAGTTGGTTTGAATTCTTTCTTGCGATGGAGATAAACCCCGCGAAGCAACTTTGTGACCTAAAAAGTTTATTTCGTCCTAAAAACGCATTTGGCGGAGATTACAATTCAATTCGTACTCATTTTAATTCACGAAAACTAAACGCACATGCTTCTTATGTTCCCTGGCCGATTTTCTGGAAATTAGCACAGCATCCAGATAGAAAAAGCAAAAATTCCAGACCAGACAAAACCCTATGCACAAACCGTTGGACCTAGAGCACCTAAAGAATTCGGAAACCCGTAAAGGGATACTTAGAAAAGTTTGTACTCTGCTTTTGGAATTTCATGTTAAGCGCGTACTAAATCGATCTTGGTAAATATAACACAACCGTTAAGATTCGCATTAAAATCTGAAAAATTTGGCAAAGGGTGATTGTAAAGTCATCAACACTGTTCAGTTATCGGTAATCTCCGCTTGGTCGCGATTCTGCAGAAGCTTCCTTCGGGACCTCGCAGAGAGTACAACCTGTGTAAGAAGACGAAGGACGACAAATTAACGTCGAAGTCAGATTTTGCGACTTTAAATTTTTAAGGATCTACACAACGAGCAGAAGGCAAGGATCCATTGGTCATGATATGATAAACAACATCATGTACAATTTTCTTGTTAATATCTTAAACCGGAGGTGCTATAACCAAAATTCTTTTATAATTGAATGAAATTCGTTGATATAAAAAATTTGAGAAATCTTAGATGTGTATGAAATCTCGTGTTGAGAAAAGCTTTTATCATCTACTGATGATGTTTGGTCAATTAAGCGTTTATAACGTACATCTACTAGTAATTCAAATTT